AAAAAAAAAAAGAAAATGGAAAATTGAAGAATGTTGGAAGGATATGAGAATGGAGACATTTTTTAAGAAGGATTTATGTATGAAAATTATGATGGCTGGATATTTCCAGAATTGATAGAGAAATGAGAAAGCTCGGCAGGTGATGAAGGTCTGTGTAGAGTTGTTATAACAAGGATGAGACCAGGATAATGTGTAGACAATCTTCTAAGGTCGCTTGCAGCTTAGTCAACTGGTCTAAGGATGTCTAGTCAAGGTTTATTTAAGGATGTTGCCCAAGCTCTATCTACATAGCACATGGTAATTAATGTACCAGGCTGGTGTAACTAACTTTGTGGGATGTTTAATAGCCAGACTCTAAGGCCTATATTAATCTGGTCAGAGGGACTTAAAGGGACAAATTTTTGTTCCTGGCCCTCCAAGGTCAAACAAGTTGCTATGGCACATCTCTCGAAACGTCCTGTAACTTTGGAGAGTCATCTGTCCTCTTGTTCACGGAGGCCATGGAGACCCCAAAAGAGGGACCTGAACCAATGTCCAGCCTGCAAAGAGGAGGGTCAACACAGAAGAAACATTTCCTCCATGCTTCCAAGCGAAGCCCTGGTCAAGCAAGACCTTTTGACTTATCTTCACATAGATGGAGCTGGTAAAAGAAAAGCCTGAGGAGCCAGGGGCTCCGCCAAGCCCATCTTACCCCTGAGGACCAAACCCTCATACAACCTTAAGAGTAAAAATAAATTGGTTTATTTGGGCCAACAGTATGGTCTTAAACACCCAAAAGGAAAGTATAACCAAAATTAAAGTCATCAGTATATTTTAAGGGTTCAGGGGATTATACAACCCAGACATTAGACATGAGTTCTTATGTTATTTAATTATCTCTCATTGTTAATTTTGTTCCTAATAAGATGTTACTCAGATGTAAGACTTCAAATCTTGGTCTACAATACTGAGTGCCCACCTGTAGCTAAGGGAGACAACCAGCTATTGTTCTAAAATGATGGATAAATTTGTTTTCTCCCCCTATCTAGAAGCCTTGGAGAGGAAACTGACATTGATTCTAGCCACTCCAATAGCTATCAAAATACCTGAAAACAAATCCTGAGTCCATCACTCTCAAGTTCAGCCCTGGCAGAAGAAAAAAAAAAGAAAAATGAGCTATTACTTTGGTGCTAACAATTGCTCCTTGCCTCTTCAGAGATATTTTCAGGACCAAATCCAAAAACTAACTAGCCCTGCCCCCTCACCAACAGGATCCCAAGGACTTCTCATGCTCCCGAGAAAAGGGAACCTAGCTGATAAGCACCTTGGTCTTTGAAGTCAAGAGAAGCAGACTTTTCTCCATTGTTTGGCCACCACAGCAGGCTTTGATCTCTAAAGAGAACAGGTTTTAACAGTCCCGCTCTCCCACTCCCCCCTCAACCCAACTTTAAAAAATACATCTTCCTGCCTTCTGCAGGAGGCAGAAGCCTCCCTTTTAAAACACCGCAGCTCAAGACCCCGGCAGGCAGACATTTCCCCTGCCCGGAAGGGAATCTGTCCCATGTGTTCCTTTGCTAATAAACCCTATTTTGATGGAGTTTTAGCTGTGCCTCGGTGCCTCATCATCCATTTGCCCGTTCTCCACCAACTTTTTACCCATCAAAAACCAATTTTCTTAGTTGTGATTGGGAGCCCTGAAGGATTCTGTCCAGATGAGGCTTTCCTTTGTTCAGCCTAGTTCTTCTAGCACTCCTAAGGCCCTCTTCTTCTGGCTTGGAGCTTAGAACCTTGAAAGGCAGGAAGGCCTCCTACTGACACACAAGGAAGAGTGAACAGCTGGCAAGGCAGGAATATAGGCAGAGCTGACCCCAGCTTCAGACAGGGTCATGGGGTGGATGACTACCCCTTGCTGCACCAGGAAGCAAAGAAGACACCCTGTGCGCATTTGCAGGTCGAGTTCTGGGTCTGTTCTAAGGTTAGGCTCAAGAGTCACAGAGAAACATGTATAGTCTGTGGCAAGCCTATGATGTCTTCATTATCAACCTGACTGGATTTGGGATTACCTAGAAGACACAACTCTGGGTGTGGCTGAGGATGTTTTGGTAGGGGGGTTAACTGAAGGTTGAATATCCACCCTGAGTGCAGGTGACATCATTCCATGGGCTAGGTCCTCAGAATGAATAAAATGAAAGGAGAAAGCTGAGCACCAGTACTCACCTCCCTGCTTCCTGAATGCAGATGCAATGTGACCAGCCACTTCTCATTCTAGCCACCAAGCCTGCCTCAATACAATGGATTGCACCCTCAAACCACATTAAGTCCTTCTTTAAGTTATTTCTGTCAGGCATTTGGTCAAAGTTAAAAAAAAAAAAAAAAAGGCACCTAATACCAGTGAGATGGGAGAGTCTAGAGAAAGTTTAGATAATCATAAAGATGCTGCCTGCCTGCAGAGTGTTTATCCCTGAGTAGGACACCTATATCAAATTTCTGCCTCCCAAGACTCAGGGATCATTGCAGAAGAGGAGGTGGATTCTAAGAGCTAGAAGAGGTGGATGACCACAAAGAAACTGAGTTTTCCAGACAGGACAGTTAGTTAGTCCTGTGAACTCACAGCAATGATGACCGCATACACAAGTTCCATGCAATTTCAAACCAGAAAAAAAATCCCAGCATATACAGGGAAGTGGGCAAGAAACCCCAACCCAACCTAAGGAAATTTTGACAACTGATGGCTGTTGGGAGGGGCAGAGACAGTCTGAAGGATGGAACTCTTGGTAGGTTAACCAGGCTCTAGTGGATGGCCCCACACTGAAGGACTCCATAGACATTATATATATATATATATAAAATTTGGGCAGGGGGGCAATAAGGGGCAGTGCAGATAGGGGAGGGGGCCCAAATGCCATCAAATTATATTGTATGAAAATCACAAAAATTCAATAATGAAAAAAGAAGCTGCCTGAAGTTCCACACACCTGACTCTATAAGCAGATGGCTCACTCAGGAATGATTGTTTTGGCCAAAGGCACTAGACTAAAACCTGACACCAATTTTGCTCTCTCTACTAAGTGTTCATCAGAAAATCTGTAGGTGTCTCCTCAGCCCCTTTGAAGTGGGCCAGGCATCATACCCCCTTAAAGGACTGAGGAGGATGAAGTTACTCCCTGGGAAGCTTGCTTCCCCAGAGTGCTGGGTGTTGCTTTCTCTCTTGAACAGGATCACAGAGACCTGAGCAAAGGTGCAGGTCCTATGTAACCCAGGTGCTGAATTCTGAGAGGAGTAGGGAGAGCCAGTGGATACTGAGCACCAGAGCTCAAGATGCAGACAATACATTCACACTGGAAGGAGGCTGTCACTGCCTAGGACTGGCAAAATGAAGAGCCTCTGCTCTGTGCCATTTTCACCAATGCTCAGGCTTTGAGCCCATCCAGGTCCAATGTGATTTGAATTTGCTCACCTCTTAACATCAATCTACTGCTGGAGTTACCAGACTGACTAACAGGCAATAAAGTAAATATTATAAGCAGTGAATAACTAGGGGAATGCCTTGCACTACCATGGAGCATGTGGCACCTCACACATGAATACAACAAGAGATGAGAAACAAACACAGCTTGTTTATTAGAATCAAAAAAGAACTTTCTCCCACTAATACAGAGTGCTGCCTCTCAGTTTGTATCAAGAGCAAGACAACAGTTGAAAATTGGATTCCTGAGAAGAAGCAAAAAGTTACCAGTATGCAAACAAACAACAGGTGATTAAAATGAAAGATTTTAAAAAAAGTTTCTTTAAAAAAAAAAAAATTTCAAGTATTATTCCAGATGACACTGCAAACCTAATGTACCAGGGAAGGTGCCTGGGAAGCAGAGGCTCCATCAATCTAGAGTGCCGTAGGGTTTCAGCACAGAGCTGTTCCCAGGGACTGGAGGGCTTAGGGCAGGGGCTGCACCCTGCTGGATGGCAGGTAGTGACCAGCCCTGTGCCAGGGATCTGGACACTTGAGACATCTACCTCCAGGTTAGCAGTTTTTGACATTTGACGATTTATTTTTAATAAACAGAAACATATGCTCATTCTTTCATATATGAGACTATCCCCAATTAGTCAATTTGTAAATTATAAATTATATTATTTGTGCTATGGTTTCTGATATTTAAATCTTATTAGAAGCACCAAAGCTATTAAAATAAAAAATATACAAAAGGCTGTGGCTTTCCAGACAGCGGAATATTCTGTACATCCTGGAGACTGTAAGCTTACGATCCTTTTCCTTACGCAGAATGCTTCTGATACACCACCTGCCCCTTTCTCCCATGAAACTTTTCCTGAAAAGAGATGTCCATTTCAACTGCATGGAAAAGGTACAAAAATACAAACCTGCACTGACACTGCCCACCACTCAGGAGGAGGCAGTTGTCTGGAGGGAGGCTCAGTCTGTCTACCCTCCTGCACTGACTAGGAGGCTTGTAGGCCTCCCAGACTGTTGTGAGAGTGTACTCAGGGTACAGCTCCGCCAAGGGAAAAGTCATGACAGAGTGCTTGACCAGAGACCCCAGTGCTGCTTAGGGGGAAGTGTAAAAATGCCCTTAAAGTGTTTGTAATGTGGTATTTTTTAAAACATAGTGTCATTGCCTCCTGTGCTCTGCAGCTGTCTGTGTTTCTCCTCCAATACTCAGTTCTTGAACCTTGTCTGCTCACAGATGTGATTGAATTTCCTGCAGGGAGAGAGGATATCAAAAAATATTCAAACTATGAAATTATATACTGGTTTTACCTTATGAGTGAGTGTGTGTGTGTGTGTGTGTGTGTGTGTGTGTGTGTGTGTGTGTATGTGTGTGTATACATGCATCAGCTTTGTTTTGTCTTTTTGAGACAGGGTCTCCCTACAGCCTAGGCTGGCCTGGAACTCACTATGTAGACCAGACTGGGCTCGATCTCACAGAGATCTGCTTGCTTCTGCCTCCCAAGTGCTGGGAATAAAGGCATGTGCCACCACATACCTTAATAGTAAAAAAACTGAACTCCAGGGCCAGGCATGGTACACGCCTTTAATCCCAGCACTCGGGAGGCAGAGGTGGATCTCTGTGAGTACAAGGCCAGCCTGGTCTACCTAGTGAGTTTCAGGACAGCTTGGGGCTACAGGGAGACCCTGTCTCAAAGTGACCAAACAAAAAAACAAAAACAAAAACAAAAAACCCCCCACTGAACTCCAAAGGTAGCCTTCTTTTTTTCATGTTAATTTTTAAATTTTATTTTATGTGTGTGAGTATACTGACTACATGTGTGTAAGTGTACCCATATCATGCAATGCCATGGAGGTCAGAAGAGGGCATCTGATCTCTTGGAACTGAAGTTACAGACAGTTGTTAGCCATCATGTGGGTGCTGGGAATCAACCCTGGGGTCCTCTGCAAGAGAGTCAGTGCTCTTAACTGCTGAGCCATCTCTTCAACCCCTCCTTTGTTTTTTTTTTGAGACAGGGTTTCCCTGTAGCTCCAGCTGGCCTGGAACTCACTATGTAGACCAGGCTGGCCTCAATCTCAGAGATCCACCTGCCTCTGCCTCCCAAATGTTGGGATTAAAGACATGCATCACCACACCTGGCTCTTTTTCTGCTTTTAAATTTTTTACTTACTTTTGTATTTTATTATTTTTATTTTATGTATCTGAGTATATCACCTCCATGTATGTAAGTGTACCCCTGTTGTGCAATGCCCATGGAGGTCAGAAGAGTGTCAGATCAACTGGAGTTACAGATGGTTGTTAGCTGCCATGTGGGTGCTGGGAACTGAACCCAGGTCCTCTGTAAGAGCAGCCAGTACTCTTAACCGTCGAGCTATTTCTCCAGCTCTTTTTTTTTTCCTTAAATTTTAAAATAGAAATGAAAATATTTTGTGTAATTTAAAGGAGAAGAGAAGGGAACAAGAGCTGTGCTTCCTCAGTGTGTGTATGGCTCTACTCCTCACCTGGCAGAGTGGAGACAGATGCTGAGGTAAACAACAGTGGCCACTTCCCCCCTCCACAAGCTAGGGGCAAGATTGGAGATGTTCACAGAGAAAAGGGACATGTGCCTTTCCCATTTAGATCCAAACTACCATGAACAAGGGTGAGTTACCAGAAAATCTTTTTTTCAACAGGTTTTTTTTTTTCAACAGTTTTTTAAAGATTTTATTTTTAGGGGACTGGAGAAATGGCTCAGAGGTTAAGAGTACTTGCTGCTCTTGGTAGAGGACCTGGGTTCAGTTCCCAGCACCCATATGGCAGGTAACAACCATCTGTAACTTCAATGCTTTCTCCTAGCCAGTATGGGCACCAAGCATGAAACAGATGTACATACATATGTGCAGGCAAATACTCAAACACATAAAAATAAATCTTTAAAATTTTTATTTTTAATTATATGTATGTTTGTGTCTATGTGGGGGAATGTGCACATGTGAGTGTAGGTACCTATGGAGGCCAGAAAAGGGTGTCAGGTACCCTGGAGCTGCAGTTACAGGCAGTTGTGAGCTGTCTGACAAAGGTACTGGAAAGTGAACTTGGCTCCTTTGCAAGAGCAGTATGGGCTCTTAACTGATAAGTCCCTTCTCCAGGCTAGAAATCTCCTTTTTTATAATAGAATAGTATCTGCTGTTCATGTTCAAATACAATGTCAGATTTCACCCCACAAAACCATCCTTTTGGGAGTCATCTCAATCTTCTCTCTCCTACTATGAGCACCAGCTCCACTGCTTTAATCTGAATAAAAAAACGTGTGTTTTTGGTAAGACATGATTGCTGAAGACACCACATATATGAACTGTAGAACCAGGAGAAATCAAGCTGGGGCTGACTACATCTCATCTCTACTGTCTAGCTTTCATAGTGCTGGAAGATGCAATGCAAGCTACCTGAAGAGAAAATATATCATCAACCTTACCCAGATATGAATGCTGTGAGCTACGTTTATAGCAATTGGCTTGGTAAGGTATGCCCACTGGTGCAATAGTGACATGAATATTATAGGAAGGGCCAACTGCTTTCTAATTGGATTTAAGGTCTACTTCATAGGATGGAGCCCATACCTGACAGTGATCTCAGGCCTGGGAACCTGAGGCTAGATACAGACCATGGGAAAAAGTTAAATTCATATAGTATTAAACTGATTCCTAATGACTTATTGTCATATCCACAGATTAATGCATCTCTCAACTCTCAGCAGAGAAGCTTCCTCATGCAGCAGATGGTGATTTAACACAAAGAAATACTACTGACCAACATAAAAAGAGGCTGCAGACCATTTATCCCTGAACAGGACACCTATATCAAACCTCTGCCTCCCAAGGCTCAGGGATCATTGCAGAAGAGGGGCTCTGTAAGAGCCAGAGGAGGTAGATGACCACAAGGAAATGGTTTTCCAGACAGCTGGCAGTTACTCATATGAACTCAAAGCAATGGTGATGGCTTGCAGAAGTTTTGTAAGCTCAAGCCAGACAAAATCCCAGCATAGACACGAGGAAGGAAGAAACCCCAACCATGCCTGAGCAACTATTGACAATTGATGGCTGTTTGGAAGGGAAGATTAAGTCTCATTTTAAAATGAGGCTGTTTGTGAGTTGATAAGGCTTCAGTGGTTAAATCCACACTGAAGGGCATTACAGGCCTAACATACACACACACATACAGTACAGAAAATTTTGTGGGAGGATAGTAAGGGGGGTGTAGATATGGGAAGGGATCTAAATATGATCAAAATATATTGCATGAAATTTTCAAAAATTCAATTTAAAAAAGGAAAAAAATGTATGTCTAGAGATTATATATTGGCCAATCAATTGACTAGCAGAGGACCATGTCACTAATTGTTTAAAAACAGGGGAGAAGCCTGGCATGGTGGAATACGCTTTTAATCCTAGCAGCACTCAGGAAGCAAAGGCAAGTGGATCTCTGTTAGTTCAAGGCCAGACTGGTCTACATAACAAGTTCTAGGCAAGTAGGGGCTACAGGGAGACACTGTCTCAAAAATCCAAAACCAAAGAGACCCCCAAAATCCAAAATACCAAGGGCAGAAAGATTAGTGCTGAGTTCTCACTTTGTAAGGTAATGGAGATGATGCAGGTATTGCTGTGAACACCATCTGAAGACCATGCTGGAGATAGTACAGTGAGGGTGGCCAAATTACAAAACAAACACCCCACACAATATAAAGAAAAACCCAGCTGGGCGTGGTGGCACACACCTTTAATCCAAGTGTTAGGGAGGCAGAGGCAGGTAGATCTCTGTGAGTTCAAGGCCAGCTGGGGCTACAGAGAGACCCTGTCTCAAAACAGTCCAAAAAAAAAGAAAAACCCAGGTGTTGCTGTTACACAATTGGGCCAGTAGCTTGGGAAAGATGTGTTCAGACCACAGCTCTGGAAGCTGTCAGACAAGTGATAAAGTGGCCCCAAACATGAAGACAGAGGTGGAAGATGGAGGTAGATATTTGCACAGAAGCATTTCAGGAAATGAGCTAATACAGGGCAGCATTTCTACCTACATTTTATATACTATATGATTATCTACTAGATATTTTATATACTACATGATTTTATAGCTACATAAGAACTAAATTAGTGTGCATATATATACACACACACACACACACATATATATATATGTATATATATTTGGAGGGGGGGTTAGGTGCTGGGGATTGAACCCAGCATTTCATAATCTATCACTGACCTATACCTATAGTCCCCATTTTTTTTGAGACAAGGTCTCACTATGAAGCCCTGCTTCTACCTCCCAAGTGCTGGTTCTAAAGGCTTATACCACCGTGCTCGGAAAATTTGTGCTTTTTTTTGGGGGGGTCTTTTTGAGACAGGGTCTCTCTGTAGCCCCAGCTGTCCTGGAACTCACTATGTAGACCAGGCTGGCCTAGAACTCACAAAGACCCGCCTGCCTCTACCTCCCAAGTGCTGGGATTAAAGGCATGTGCCACCACACCCGACAAATTTGTGCATTTTAAAGCATACAATTGACTATTGCTGTTGCCTTCCCAAGCTCTGATTCTGGAGAATATGCAGCTGACCCAAATGTCTCCCAACTTCACTTACATTGCATGGTGAGCTTTCACTTGAGTGCGACAGTTACGGCCCCAGTAGCAATCAGGACGGGATGTTACAGCCACTGGAAAAGAAATTATAAATCTATATTAGATGTATTATACACCCTCATGTAGCTAAACGAATTTAACTGGAGACACAGGGAAAGTCCCTCTGAACAAAAAGCATCTTATCTCTTGCATGTGTATGTGTGTTCATATAGGTGCATGTGTGTGGGTATACATTGTATATGTGGAAGCCAGAAGTCTCTCATTGGCCTGGGGCTTGCCAGGTAGGCTGAGCTTGCTGGCCAGTAAGTTCTAGGGATCTGCCTGTCTCTTCTGCCCAGGTGCTGGGATTACAAACACAAGCCACCATACCCACCTTTTTTTTTAGGTGGGTTCTAAGGACTGAATTCAGATCCTCATGGTAGCACAACAATCATTTTAATGAGTAAACTATTGTGCCAGCCTGAAATCTTGTTTCTCTTTATGATCAGTTTTCTTAGACCATGCCAGGATTTTATGAAAGGAAAAACAAATTTAGCTGAAACAAATTTAGGAAATTAAATTGCTCCCGTGGTTTCTCTAATGTCTTTATAGCTTTGCTTTAGAAACTCATACTACTTTGCCCACTAGCAGCTAAGAGCCAGTCCCCAAAGCAAACACAGTCTCATTCATCCTGTGTGCCTGTCTTCTCCTTGGATGACACAACTTCTGCTGAGAACACAGTATAGACTACCATGCTGAGTATCTGTCAGAAGTGAGTACAGAAACCAACCCACATAGAGATAGAGTCTGTGTGGACCCTGTACCTGGCAACTCGGAAGCAGGAATGTTCTGCCGATATTGGTAAGTCAGCTCTCGGAAGCTACGTAGGCCACAGCAGTAACACAGAATGGTGTTTCCAGTGATTCTGTAATCTGGGGGAACATGGCCACATTTAGACACGGCTATTTATCAGGCAATATCATTTTCTAAACAGCAGAATAGACACAGCACTTCAAACTAGTAGAAAACTAGCATATTGACCTATAAATGAGGTAGAGACAAAATGAAAGACATTTGGAAAACAACACACAAACCAATCTAAATACTAGTTTAGTTCTGTTGGTTGTTGGTTTTCAATGTCTTTTTTAAAAAAAAAGATTTTATTTTTATGTGTATGTGTTTTGCCTACACGTATGTATGTCTACATATGTGTGCCTGGTGCCCATTTAAGTCAGAAGAGGGTGCTAGAAACCAAACCCAGATCCTTTACAAGAGCAGCACATGCTCTTAACCACTGAGCAACCTCTCTAGTTCCACTAGTTTAGTTTTTAATAGCAAAATAACCTCATGTAGATTAAGACTTTAATATTTTAAAATCCCTCCAAAAGGGCTGGAGAGATGGTTCAGTGGTTAAGAGCTTAAACTACTCTTGCAGAGGACCCGAGTTGGTTCCTAGCATCCACATGGGACACAACTGCCTATAACACCAACTCCAGGAGATCCAATGCCTCTGACCTCTTAGGGCACCTGCACTTATGTGGCACATACCTACACACAGACACACACACATAATTTAAAATCTTTTGAAAAGTCTTCCCAAAAGTATTAAGAAGATTGCAGCCAGGCGCATGCCTTTAATCCCAGCACTCGGGAGGCAGAGGCAGGCGGATCTCTGTGAGTTCAAGGCCAGCCTGGTCTACATAGTGAGTTCCAGGACAGCTGGGGCTACAGGGAGACCCTGTCTCAAAAAGACGAAAAAAAAAAAAAAAAAAAGATTGCAAAGAATATTTTCTCTTGTGTCACATTTAAATATGATTAAGTATTCCTTATCTGAAACACATGGAATTAGAGGTGTTTAGAATTAGATTTATTTTTCAGATTGAAGCATTTGTATATGTAATGAGAACTAAGGGACCAAAGTTTAAATGCAGAATTTGTTAACTTTTCCTACACACAGCCTGAAGGTGATTTCATATCGTGACCCATCATCACAGTCTTAGGGTGAGTTTCCTTTTAAGGTATCATGTCTTCAGCACTCAAACAGTTACAAATGTTGGAGCATTTCAGAATTGGGATGCTAAACTTGTATGCTATGAAAATAAAATCACACACAGGAAAGGACTTGTAAATCTGACTACCTACAATTTAAACTTTGAAATATAAAAATACAAAGAACTGCCAGGCATGGTGGCACATGCCTTTAATCCCAGTACTCAGGAGGCAGAGGCAGGTGGATCTCTGTGAGTTCAGGGCCAGCCTGGTCTACAGAATAAGTTCCATAGCAGCTGGAGCTACAGGGAGACCCTGTCTCAAAAAGACAGAAAACAAAAACAAAAACAAAACAAAACAAAAAACCCCAAAGAACTGTGAAATATGAAGGCAAGAATACCAAAGTAGGAAGTACTGACAACACAAGGAACAAGTCTAAATACTTATGCTAAGTAGGAAGTACTAACATGAAAAGCAATACTAAATACTTAAAAGATATCATGCCAATGTGTGCCTGTGTAAAAACCAGGATCACAGATAAGCAAGTGCCATATGGATGCAAAAAAGATCTTCAATTTTGTTAATAGTCACACATGGATAACAAAATAATGGTAGGTCAGCCTCTCTCATATGCATGAGATTTAAAGACAAATGCAAAGCAACAGGCAGGGAATACCCAAAGGAATGAGGGGAGCCTGAATAGCCTTGGGAAAGACAGAATACTCAAGTAACAAAGTCTCAGGGGTGTGTACCACTGTTCTAAAAATCTCATTTATTCTAAAATGACAACTTTTCAGATGTACAGTATATTTCATGTTTTAACAGCTGTGGCATTAAAGTATTGGAAAACAGAAATATTCTCTTTTTAAAAAGAAATACTTATTTTATGTGAGTGTATTCCTGCATGTGTGTAAGTGTACTCGTGTCCAGGGAGGTCAGAAGAGGGCATCGGATTCTCCTGGAACTGGAGTTACAGATGGTTGTTAGCTGCCATGTGGGTGATGGGAATTGAGCCAGGATCCTCTGGAAGAGCAGCCAGTGCTCCTAATCGCTGAGCTATCTCTTCAGCCCCGGAAACCAGAAATAGTCTTTAATGATGAACTAACTAAATAAACTGTGATATTAAAACTCTCTCTAGGGATGGAGAGAAGGCTCAGTGGTTAAAAATGCATACTGCTCTTATAGAGAACCAGTGTTCCAATCCCATCACCCATATCAGGCAGCTCACAACTACCTGTGAACTCCAGTTCCAAAAGACCTGATGGCCTCTGGAGGCAACTGCACTCACATGCACACACATACCCCCACACAGATACATGCATACTCATAATTAAAAAAATTTAAAGTCTTAAACTTTATGTAGGGTTAGGGATATAGCTTAGTTGGTAGAGTGCTAGCCCACCATGCACAAAGCCCTTTGTTTGATCCCACTTTAGAAAACCAGGAATTGTGGCACATGCTGGTTTCTACTAGCACTTGGGAGGTAGAGGCAGGAGGATAAGTAAAGGTTAGCCAGAGTCAGCAAGTTTGAGGCCAGCCTGGGCTACAGTCCTTTCCTTTAAGTCCTCTCCCCACTTCTCTCCCCCCAAACCTCTGTGTAATAATAAATCAAGGCAGGGCTGGGGTGTAGCTCAATGGTAGAGTACGTGCTTAGTATGTACAAGAACCCTGGTCAGACCCAAGTACCTCAAAAATAATGCTTAGATTTTTCTAGGCCAAGGGAGTATGTGATACTGAGATGTCTAATCTTGACTGTCAACTTGACACACCTGAGAAGAGGGAACCTCAATTGAAGAATTTCCTCCATCAGATTGGCCTGTGGTATGATAACATAAGGAATAAATGATGTCTGAGTTTCTGCCATCTCTCCTGTTCAAGGCCTCATTGGTCCCCCTCCTCTAATAGTCCAACTATTTTTGTATCCTCTTACAGTATTTTAAAAACTTATTTTTATGTATATGAGTGTTTTGCTTGCATGTATGTAAGCGAAGAGGGAAGAGGGCATCAGATCCACTAGAACTGCAGTTATGGGTGGTTAGCTGGCATGTGGCTGCTGGAAACTGAACATGGATCCTATGCAAGAGCAGCCAATGCTGTTAATTGCTGAGCCATCTTTCTAGCCACTTACAGTATTTTAAATGACTAATCATAACATATGCTAGCTATAAGAAACAGAAAAGCCAAAATCTATACAAAACTGTCTTTGTTTAAGGCTCTGCTTTAGAGAACTATCTCTCAGAGCTGTGCTGGTACATTAATAAAAACTACTTCCAGGCAGGCATTATGGCACATGCTTTTAATCCCAGCACTTGGGAGGCAAAGGCAGTGAGATCTCCGTTAACATCAGGCCAGCCTGGTCTCCATAGCAAATTCCAGGCCAGCTGGGGCTCCAAGGAGACCCTGTCTCAAACTGCTTCCTTCATAAGTTGTCTTGGGGTACCATTTTCTGTTCAGAATGTCTACTACAGTGGATATGTCTATGGGGCATTTTCTTAATTGCTAATTAATGCAGGAACACCCAACTCACTGTGGGATGTGCCATCCTTAGCAGGTGGGACTGGGCTGGATAGGAAAGGTGGCTGAGCAAGCCAAAGGAAACAAGTCAATAAGCAGTGTTCCTTCATGGTCTCTGCTTCAGTTCCTGTCTCTAGGTTTCTGCCTTGAGTTCCTACCCTGGCTTCCCTCCATGATGGACTATAACCTATAAAGTTAAAAAAAAAAAAAAAAAAAAAACAACCCTATCCTTCCTAAGTTGTTTTGGGTTGGTGTTTTATCATAGCAATAGAAATCATTCTAGAACACACACACGCTGAGTAAAAATCAAGCAGGACACTCAGTAGGGCACCATCTGTAATGTTATGCATGAACAGGCACCTCTATGTGGAAGAGCTTGAATGGATTGTCATGAAAACAGTATTCTCACATGTTTTATTCTGTTAATTTGTCTATGCATTTGCAATGCTGGGGAAGGAACAAGCCTGGCCCTGAGCATCACTCTAGCCCCTGCCTGAGGTTTAGGTGTGGGATTTCTAGTGACTTTTACTTTATTCTTTGTTCTTCCCAAAAGCACTCATCTTTTCTTTCTGAGCTGCTCTCATTACAAAACTAAGAAGTGAAAGGCAGTCAGAGAAGTTGATGAATTTAAAGAACAGGAAGACAGACTAGCACATGACCACAAGACAGAAACAGCTCAGGGGATGTCAAACAAACTGTTCACACCTCTCTTGCAAATATTCAGTCTTGAAAGAAAAATTTCTCAACAATTTCTATAGCCTTTCTTATAAACTCCCCTGGGAGAAAACACAATATCCTATCCCTTCCCCACCACTGAGTCAATCTCAACGTAAGCCTAAGCCATACCTCCACACCTCCCTAATAGGGAGAAAAGGTGCTGGAAATCTCACAGAGATCCACCTGTCTCTTTAAAATTTTCTTTTTAAATTTTATTATTTATTTATTTATTTATTTATTTAATTTATTTGGACTTTACAAGAGATACAAGAGATAGGGTCTCTTGTAGCCCCAGCTCGCCTAGAACTCACACAACTCTGCCTGTCTCTGCCTCCCGAGTCCTGGGACTAAAGGCCTGTGCTACCACACCTGGCTAGGTTCAAACAGAATGTTTTTAAAACCTCAAAAGCAATTAGGCAGGTGTGGTGGCTCACACTTGTCATCCTAGCATCACGGAGACAGACAGGAGGATCACAAATTCAAGGCCATCCTGGGTTACATAGCAAGACTCTGCCAAAACAAAACAAAAATTTAAAGTATCAAGGCCTTCCTCCATTTCTCTGACAGGAGGGTGTGGGTCAAGTCCTAACGCAGGAAAGCAGACAGGTAATACTCCCAGGTTTGGCCTGTCATGTTCTCACTGCTTTGTAGGAGACACAGGCAGTCTAGAAATTCATACCCATTCTAGAGGGCATGGCCAGCTAATGCTTACCAGACAGCAGAAACACACCCCGCTGAAGTGCCAAGAGACTCTCTGTCAACATATTTTTCCATGTCAGACCCCTGGTTGCCAGGTAATTCTGTGATGGGGGAAAAAAAAGGATGAAAAATACTAGTTTGGAGGGAGAATCACTAAAATAATGAGAGTAAACAGTTCATAAAAGGTCCCTCAAAGTGGATGAAGACACAGCATGTTTTCCCTTGAGTGGCATTTGCACAGAGCCAGGAGGTAAACCCAAGTCAACACTCTCACACATCTCAGGAGATCCCTACTGAGAGCCTCTCTGGCCTCCGGACCTGAGCAAGAGTCACTATTCTCTCAAAAGTTCCACAAAGGCACTCACAGCACAGGGACAGATAAGCTACCAAATCATGCTAGAGTCTCTCTCTTACCCCCATGGGTGACAATATGTCTGAGTGCCTGGCCTCTGATCTCTCTTCTTTTCAGATACATAGGCTGTTACAAAAAAGTGCCTCCATGGACATAAAAGTAGGGTGTGGTGATGCTTAGCTGAGCATGTCTGGTAGTGTATCCAGGCAAATAGCCTCAGAGGGAGGCAAAGTTCTCAATAGAAGGGCAGAGGGTGCAGAACTGAACATGTTACAATTCTAAGAGCTGAGTGAGTTTCCTCAAACATGGGAAAGAAAATATTCACAAAAAGGAGCCAAAGAGAAGAGCCAGAACCAAGAAACCCTCTCTGTGAGGTGTGATAAGCAATTCCTATGGACCGAGGGCATGATGAGCAAAAAGGAATTACTTCGTTTTAGAATATAGGGAAAACCAGATATACACCAATGAAACCAGAGGACTATCTGATTGTACTGATAAGCAAATACAGTTAATGTTGCTGGTTGTGGTGATGTACACTGGCAAGGCAAATCCTCAAGAGAAAAATGCAGTATCCAGATAGAGACCACAGAAGTTATGGGAAGGCCTCAAGGTCTTCACTGGATCCCCAGGGCAAGTGTGGAGGCAGTACCTTCAGGATGTCTGACTCATAGTTGTTATTGTTCAGCACTCCATCCAAACACTTGTCCCCCAAGTTGAGCTCTGCCAGAGGAAGGAGGAATGTTATCTGTTTGTAAAGATGACATTATATACAAATATTATTTGCCTGACAGGATAACCAATCTCTGGGAAGATGGCTCAGTCAGTAAAATGCCTGCCACACAAGATGAGGACCTGAGTTTCAATGCCCAGCACATGCATTAAAAATCATGCATTAAAAAAAAAAAAAAAAAGCCAGGTGGGGCAGAACATGTGTGAAACACTGGCACTGGTGGGGGAAGAGACAGGTGAATTCCCAGAGATTGCCAGCCAGCCAGCATTGCTAACTGGTGAGCATCAGGTTCAGTGAGAGACTCTATCTCAAAAAATAAGGTGGGAGGCTGATGGCTCAACATGGGACTGGAGATATGGCTTAGCGGTTAAGAACACTGGCTGCTCTTGCAGAGGACCTAGGTTCGATTCCTAGTACCCACATGGCAGCTAAAAACCATCCATAACTTGAGTTCCAGAGGATCTGAGGCCATCTTCTGAACTCCTCAGGCACTGCACAACACGGGTGCACTTACAAATATGCAGGCAACACACTCATACACATAAAATAAAAATAACAAAGTTTTGGGTTTTTTTTGTCTTTTTGAGACAGGGTCTCCCTGTAGCTCCAGCTGTCCTGGAACTCACTATGTAGACCAGGCTGGCCTTGAACTCACAGAGATCCGCCTGCCTCTGCCTCCCAAGTGCTGGGATTAAAGGTGTGCTCCACCACGCCTGGCATAAAGTATTTTTTTTTAAAAGATGGCTCAGCTAGGCGTGGTGGTGCACGCCTTTAATCCCAGCTCCGCCTACCTCTGCCTCTGTCTCTGCCTCTGGAGGGCTGGGATTACAGCAATGGTGATTTTATGTATATGGACAATTTCTCCTGGGGCTGGAGCAATGGCTCAGTGGTTATATCCACATCAAGTAGCTCACAACTGCCTATAACTCCAGCTCCAGGGAATCTGAAGCCCTCTTCTGGCCTCTGTGAGCACCTATACACAAATGCACATACCCACATAGAGACATAAACATATACACATAAATAAAAATAATAAATACTAAGCCAGGCATGGTAGCGCATTCCTTTAATACCAAAACTTGGGAGGTAGAGGCAGGCAGATCTCTGAGAGGTCAAGACCAGCCTGGTCTACATAGCTAGTTTCAGGCCAGATGTGGCTACAGGGAGACCCTGTCTCAAAAAGACCAAAAGATATAAAAAAATAATAAATACTAAAAAAAAAGTCTCCTGTACCAGAAATTAGTGTTTCTTCTGTTCTGCTACTGCTTGATTTGGAAGTAGAATTTGACACTTCCAAAGCTGCAAACTTCTGCAGTGTAGTAGATAAAGGCCAATGATCACCTGATGGCTCGCAGCCTCTTCTTTTTCCCTGACCACATCAGGTCACATTCAGCCCCATCACCTGCCCTCAGATTCACCAAAGAAACATACAAAGGTCAAAGCAACTAAGGGTTGAAGAGCCAACATTACCACAGAAAGGGGCCAGGCAGCCAAAGCAGCCGGTCCTGGTGCAGCCCCAGTACAGGTGGCAGAAGGGTTGCAAGCATACTGTACCTGTGAACAGAAGACAGTTGCAGTCAGGCCCCAGCCTATTCTCATACTGGAGGACATCCTGCACCAGCCTCAGGAGCTCAACTCTCTTTGAAAACAGCATTTATGAGGCATTTCCAAGGGACAGGGGAGCAAAGGCAGCATCTCAGCTAACATCTAACATCAAAAGTGACAGAATTGTGATGACTAAGAGTTGCAATCCTAAAAAAACCAACTAGGTTATGTCTGCTTGTCACCCAAACAGCTCTGGTGCACTGTCTCCCAGGTCTGAGTATGTGATACACTTGCAGGAACTAAACATTCATGTGTGTGGAGACAGCTTTTTTACCTAACATGAGTATTTTTTTACATTGTTGCCTTAGCTACTTCTGTAGAAATGATTTTTTTTTTTTTTCCGTCTTTTTGAGACAGGGTCTCCCTGCAACCCCAGCTGTCCTGGAACTCACTATGTAGACCAGGCTGGCCTTGAACTCACCGAGATCCACCTGCCTCTGCCTCCCAAGTGCTGGGATTAAAAGTGTGCGCCACCATGCCTGGCAGAAATGATTTTTTAATGTTTAATATTCTATCCAATGCAGTTTCCCAGAATGTGGTGTTAGATAAACCCTAGCTGAAATTCTAATAGGGTTGAATAGTTCTTTTTCTAAAAAATATTTTATTTATTATTTTTTTATTTTTTATTTTATTTTATTTTTTTTTTCAGTCTTTTTGAGACAGGGTCTCCCTGCAACCCCAGCTGTCCTGGAACTCACTATGTAGACCAGGCTGGCCTTGAACTCACCGAGATCCACCTGCCTCTGCCTCCCAAGTGCTGGGATTAAAGGCGTGCGCCACCATGCCCGGCTATTTTTATTTTTTTATGTGTCTGCGTGTATTGCCTGCATGTAGGTAAATGCACCTGTGTCGTGCAACGGCCCGCAGAGGACAGAAGAGGCTGTCGGATCCCCTGGAACTGGAGTTATGGACAGTTGTTAGCAGCCGTGTGGGTGTTGGGATTCAAACCTGCAAAAACATTTTTCTGCAAGAACATTCAGTGTTCTAAACTGCTGAGCCATCTCTCCAGCCCCCAAATAGTTAAGTCTTTTAAAGCCTGTATTCATGCTGGGCATGGTGGCACATGCCTTTACTCTCAACACTCAGGAGGCAGAGGCAGCCAGATCTCTGTGAGTTCAAGGCCATCCTGGTCTACATAATGAGTGAGTTCCAGGCCAATTGGGGGTACAGGGAGACCCTGTCTCAAAAAGACCAAAATAATAAGTAAATAAAGCCTGTATTCACTTTGTAAATATATCTATAAAAGCATTCTATATGAAATTAGCCAAGACTAAAGACTAATGTGGAAAAGTTGCCCTCTTGGAAAATTTTTAACACCTTTCCCTGAGATGCCACTTGCTGACAACCTTGTATACCTCAAGTATGAAGGTATTCTTGGGATCTCTTTATTGGATCCTTTTCAACATTCCTAGAGGTCTCCTTGGTATGTTTGGGGCTTGTTAGCTGCCTATCTCAGAATGCACACCCTCAAGGTGCCATCCCCCGCTCCCCTGCCCCTGTGCTGTACTAAGACCAGGTTAGGGAGATCCACCTCCCCAGAAGCAGCCTCTGAGTGCATAGAAGACACTACATAACTGCAGTGAACAGTTTGTGCTATGCTATACATTGTGCCCTCAATATCCAGAGTAGCAGCTTAGGCATAGCAGGCCCCTGGGCATGTGTCCACATAGGTTTATGCTTCTCTTTATGCAACACCAGTATTGTACAAGGAACTCTCATGCTGGGAAGTATTTAAAAAGGCAATAGACATGAACAAAAATATTAGCAGTAAATTTGAACAGTCACTAAATAAACAAAGAACTCCATTTTTTTTTTTCCTCCTCGTTTTGTGGTGCTGGGGATGGAACCTAGGACCCTGTATGCTAGGCAAGTGCTCTACCACTGAGCTACATCTCTATGCCCAAGATCTGTTTTAATGATAAAATATGTAAATGAAGCTGGGCATGGTGGTACACGACTTTAATCCCAGGACTTGGGAGGCAGAGGCAGGCGGATCTTTGTGAGTTCAAAGCCAGCCTGGTCTACATAGTGAGTTCCAGGACAGCTGGGGCTATAAGGAGACCCTGTCTCAAAAAAGACCAAAAAACAAAAAAAACAAAAAAAGTAAGTTAAATACAAGGTACTCATCTCTTTGATTTGTAAGGAATACATTATACAATGACTATAGTCCTGATGTAGGGATAGATACAGATTCAGATCCCAGGAGAACCACCTACAGGGCAGTGTTATCAACTGGTAGAAAAAGACAGACTTAACATGTTCATGTGGGATCAATCAATTACAATGCAGATTAAAATAAAAAGAAATCCTATCTTTGCTTCACATCCTACAAAAAGTCAGTATTATTTGAAACTCAAGCCGTGGAAGATGTATAGGAATGTCCTCCAGTGGGAGGGACAGCTCAGGTCAGACTGACATACTTACATTGCTGAGGGGCAATACGGGAGTCCTGCTCACGTTCGGCTCTCCGGTCAGGCATAGGTTGGAAGCAGCAGGTACATATGGCATGGCTTCCTTGCAAAGGGCACACATAATCCTGGGTGGCTGAAGCATAAACATGTTCAAGCCAGAGCATGGTCAGATACCAGATGAAACACAGAAGACAAGAGATTTTCATGTAGAGAGACAGCTAGAAAGTACATATGAGCATGGCCAGGATCTGAAGGGGATCCAGACTACTTTCTAAAGGGTCAAATGATATTCTGCCATTTTTAAACAAAAACAAAAAACCCAACTAACTAAATAAATAAACCAAAGGAGTTCAAGTCAGGCCTGGTGACATACACTTATAATCCTAGTAATTGGGAGGCTGAGGAAGATCACAAATCAAGGCTAGCCTGGGCTATGTAGTGAGTTCCAGCCAAGTCTGAGCTATAAGTGTAGACCCTGGTTCAAAAGGCTAAATGAATAAGTAAATACACTAAGGGAATTCAAGTAAACCAAAAATTAACTAAAAATTCAGGACTAGCTAGGGTGTGCTCAGTAGCAGTGTACCTGCCTAGCATGTATAAGGCCTGGGTCCAGCCCTAACACCATAAAACAGTTATCTTTTGGTATAGCGGTTGTAGCAAGATTTTAAAGGTCAGTTAAGGGGTTTCTACTATTTCTTACAATGGAAGGACATAAAACAATAAAGTAAGTTGTATATGCAATTTCTGTGAGGCAAGAGAATCACTTTTTTTTTTTTTTTTGCCTTTTTGAGACAAGGTCTCCCTGTAGCCCCAGCTGGCCTGGAACTTACTATGTAGACCAGGTTGACCCTGAACTCACAGAGATCCCCCAGCCTCTGCCTCCCTAGTGCTGGGATTAAAGGTGTGCGCCACCACACCCAGCTGTGTGTTTTTTTTTTAATACACATGACAAGCACTGTGAGGACAGTCGGAGGCACCAAGAACTCTGTTCCTTTGTGGCACATCCCCTTGACGCTCACAGTCTACAAAACAAAGACCATGCATGAGAAGTCACCACACTGGCTATCATAACCTAATTCACTGCTAAGGGTCACCAGTCATCTTTGGGATCTCAGGCTACATTTGTATGTTACTCTCATTCTACACATTGGTTTCTAAACAATAATCTGACAGCCCAAATCGGGGGCAGATTGCTGATGTGACTTACAAAATTCATTTTGGACTATGGTCAAGTATCTATCCTTTAATGGCTGAGCACTGCCTTGCTGTCCTAACCATCAGTTCTAGAAGCCACCCAGAGAACTTCAACAGTGTTCCATCTAGCAGGGTAGTCAAGAATGTGGCTCTGGCCAGGCATGGTGGCACACACCTTTAATCCCAGCACTTGGAGGGCAGAGGCAGGTAGAGTTCTGTGAGTTTGAGTCCAGCCTGCTCTACCTAGTAAGTTCCAGGACAGCTGGGGCTATGGAGGGGGGACCCTGTCTCAAAAAAAGAATGTGGCTCTGAGGTTGGTGGCATCCTGACCCACTCAGGTTAAATACTAGCTAAAGAGCTAGGTCCCCTAAGGCTATTTTCAATTAGGCAATGATCACAGTCTGGATGATTGCATTATGAACAGGCAGTGCTGGAGCTACAGGTAGCAGGCCCCAGGCAGGCAGCACTGCTATGCTGTTTGTACCCAATTCCAGTTCTGGGCCTCAACTCTTAGGGCTAAGAACTGCAAGCCATGCAACCCTCAGCCTTTTTTTTTCCCTCTTTCTCTCTTCTCTCCTCCCCTCTGCTTTTCTTTTCTTTTTTCTTTTTTAGAGTTCAGAATGGAACACAGGCCCTTGCATGCCCTCTATCACTAAGCTATATACCTCAAACCCTCCCTTATTTTTCTCAATTTATCTAGGAAATGGGCAATTGGCAGGAGGATGCTTACAGGGCAACTCTGTGGAGATGCGAGACAGCGTATGGGAACTCAGCACCCACTGCTAGAAAGAAACCAGTCTCTAATTTAGGTAACAGAGAATGGATGATCGTTTTGATATTGGCAAGCCCCACTAAAGGGGACGTGAGCATCCCTGAAGCAGGAGGCTGGAGAGAGACCAAGTGCAGAGACCAGGACTGTTAATTACCAGGTATGTTCAAAAGGGGAGACCCCAGAATAAACAGGTCTTTACCTAATTTCTTACCAACACTGGCTATGACAAGGAAGAAGCTATGAGAAGCAAGAAGAATTGCAGAGGCAAGGGACAGGAGGGCAGAAGAGGAACCAGAGAAGACATACTATAGGAACCCAGAGCAAGAGTCATAAGGATGTGACACAACAGAGGAACAAGCTCATGTTAGACACCATTTCTCACCTGTTGGGAAGCTGGCAGATGTCGATGGTGCTTCCCCACCAAGGGCCTGTGGGGTCCCCTGCTCGCTGTCTGTTACTGGGCAAGGAAGGGGCTGCACTGCTTGCCTTCTGTATTCAGGACACTGTCTGCACAAGATGTATGGCTGACTGCAGGAAGAACAGGAAGAGCTGGAGTCACAAAGGAACAAGTTCCTAGCAGGCAGCACTGCTGTGTTACCACATGCCCCCAGTTCTACTGTTGGGCCTCAGCTCTACCTCTACTCAGCTTTACTTCAGTGTGTGTGAAGGGAGAAGCTGGCTCCTTTTTCCTGCCCATCTCCCAGCATTAGAGGGGGCACTACCAATACCACCTGGAACAGGGATTTGAGAGTAAGAACCACATCTACCATATGCTGACTGCTCTGTGCTCAGCTACTTTCTTGTTCCATTCCTCACACTGCATGTTTCAGCACACTCTTCTCTGGGCCACTCAACAGGATATGGACTCACAAGCTCTGAGGTGGAGGAGACCCAGGTTTATGAGAAAAAACTACATTGAAAGCACTGCTGGCCCACCCACCACATGCATGTTCTCTCCTCATTAAAATCAGAGCACAGCTAGGCATAGTGATGCCCACCTGTATTCCTAGCAGTCTCCAGACAGAGGGAAGAAGAGCCCAGTGAGTTTGAGACTGCAATTACAGGGGTCAACCACCACACTTGGGCCCAGCTCTATCTTGTTTTGTTTAGAGGGATTTTGTTGTTGTTTTCATTGTACAAGAGATTGAACTGAACCCTCTCACATGCTAGGCAATTGCTCCACCACTGAACTACACCCCACCGCCTTTAAATGTTTTTATTTTATTTTATTGTGAGAAAGGGTCTAAGTCTCCCAGGCGGGTCTTGAACTCACTCTGTAGTCCAGGAGATTTGTTTTTTTTTTTTTTTTTTTTTCTTTTTGAGACAGGGTCTCCCTGTAGCCCCAGCTGTCCTGGAACTCACTATGTAGACCAGGCTGGCCTTGAACTCACAGAGATCCGCCTGCCTCTGCCTCCCGAGTGCTGGGATTAAAGGTGTATGCCACCACGCCTGGCTTTGTTTGTCTTTTTAAATATGGCCTTGATCTATAATGTTGACCCCCAACTTCAGAATTAGGAAACACCAATGTGTCAGTAAGTAAGATTAGGTCTCAGAGGGCTGTGTCCTCTCAGTCTGGGCACTATTCCTATCCTGTAATACTACTTTAAGAAATGATAATACATGGGGTGTGGTGGCACACCCCTGTAGTCCCAGCATTTGGAAGGCAGAGGCAGGCAATCTCTGTGAGTTCAAGGCCAGCCTGGTTTACATAGTGAGTTCCAGGCCAGCTGGGGCTATAGAGAGACCTGTTTCAAAAAGAGAGACCTGTTTCAAAAAGACTAGAAGAAAAAAGAAAAAAATGATAACACTACCATTTACGGTTGAAGTCTTATAGTCTCTAGCTACAAGGACAAAGTGCATTTGTGAGGAAAATAATACGTTAATTATAACATTTCTGTTGTAGTCAGTGAATCAGGACTCATGATGAGAAATCTAAGAAAATGAAGATATGGAGGAGGTTTCAAAACTCATTGAGGCTGTTAACCCATTTGCTGCTGCTCAGAATCTATCTAGTCCTGGCCATATGCCAATGTCAGGAAATAGCCTCAAATCATTAAGGAACTTGTCTCCTGAAGTCCCATGCTGAGGATCCAATAGTAAACTTTAGCACAGTACTGACACACTTCTCACCCCCAAACCCCACTTTGAGTCAGGCACAAGACTTACCTGATGTCTGAGGATTCACTGTCAACATCTGACAGCTCCAGCAGGTCTTCTGAACTCCCCTCTTCATCAGAGAAAGACCTCCTGACTTTGGGTTGCAGCATATCTTGAGTGATTTTATTCCTGGCATCCATACTTCGCACATCTTCTTCACTGCGACTCTTGTCTAGATATAAAGGTCACAGTAGCTTTCATTGGCAGAGAGACAGGACCAGAGAGATGATCTAGACTGCTTAGAGAGGAGCTTACAGCTCCAGGCCCAAAAGGGAAAAGTCAGCTGGCTGACCACTTGCCTGGGTGCTGGATTAGGTATGCTTCCACGAGGTTGTTCAGGATGTGGTTTTTGCAGATTCGCTCCACTGGACAGCGGCAGGTGGGGCACAGGGATGAGCGCTCCATCCAGCCAGAGTAGCAAGCCGCACAAAATGTGTGCATACAAGGCTGCAAACTGGGAGAATATGAAGGAACATGTCTTCTGACAAAAATCCTCCAAAGATGTGCCACTGTGACACGCGGACAAGGTCTGTAGTAGGCCCACCCAGGTAGGAAGTACAAGCTGGATGCTGAGCCATGAGCCAATTGTGGGAAATTCTATCATCTAACCTAAAAGTACTTCAGCTCACTGTTTGAAGAGAAAAAGAAATAAGAGGCCACATGACCTGCTTTCAGGAGAAGCAACAGATAACGACTTCAGGAACATAAGCAACAGAGATACTGAATGTTTGGGGATTGAAAGCTGGGTAAACTCTACCTTCTAAGTTTCCAAACAAAAGCCAGAGAAGGCTCTCCCAGAGACATTCACTCTGGGACATTCATTCTATAATAAATATTATGTTTCTGTAGCTAGGAAATGTTTAAAACTCGGTACACTTCACTTGATCCATCTGCAAGATAAAGACCAGGTATGCTGGATTACTTATGACCTGTGTCAGTCAAAACCAAGGTTAATCAAATCTTGTGGATTCTACGGCCCTGGTCTTGAGGCTCCAGGATTTCTCCTTGTTGGCATCACAAGTAAAATGAAAATGGCAACCTGAGCAGATTCCAGAGCAAAGAGGACCAGACAGTTTTATCCACAGCCACCTCCCCACCCTTGTCAAGGATCATAGGGAGCCACTGCTGCTGGAGCCACCCTGGGGTGTGAAGCAGCACACCTCACACAGTCGTGCAGAAGGTCTTGGCAGATGATGCAGGTTAGTGTCTCCTCCATCTTGTCTGGCTTCACAGTGGCAGCTCTGACATCCTCATGTGTGGTGTGAGTGTTTCTACACTGGTCTGCAACCAACAACTGTAGATTCAAGTCAAGCTCCCCATCTGTAAGAAAAAAGGACAAGTTCCAATGGACACCAAAGAAACCAATGTAAGCCTCTGGTTTTACAGACCCCCAGAAGACAAAGAAGATTCTTGGACTTTTATTGTCTACCAGCAGCAGAGGACACAAAAGCTATTTATAAAGATTATTATTTTTAAGAAGGCCTCAAACAAGTTATGTTCCATATGCCTAAACTGTGGTTTAGAATTGCTGACCTAAAAAAAGAAAAAGACATTCAGGTTGTATAGATAAGATATAAAGGCCACAAGAGAGAAAAGAGTGAAGTAGAGGAAGGACCAGTTATACAGTGCTTGTAAATGCCACTTTTGTTTAAACGGATAAATATGATCCCAAGCACAAGAAAGTGCTGCAATGAAACTCTAAGATGGCACTGGCAGCTTTAAAATGTTTTCTCCTGGGCTGGACAGATAGCTCAGAGGTTAAGAACACTGGCGGTTCTTGCAGAAGACCCGGGTTCGAATCCCAGCACCCACATGGCAGCTAACAACTGTCCCTAACTCCAGTTCCAGGGGATCCAACAGCCTCTTCTGTCTTCCGTGGACATTGAACGACATGGGTGCACTTACCTACATGCAGGCAATACACGCATACACAGAAAATAAAAATAAAATAAAATATATATTAAAAAAAAAACCACTTTTCTTGCAGAAGACCGGGTTTGAGTCCCAACACCCACATGGCAGCTAACAACTGTCTGTAACTCCAGTTCCAGGGGATCTGACAGCTTCTTCTGTCCTCTGCCAGCATTGTATGATACAGGTGCACTTACCTACATGCAGGCATAACACTCATACACATAAAATAAAAATAATAAAATATTTGAAAAAAAGTTTTCTCTTGATACATATGTATAATTACTACTATTTTTGTTTTTTTGAGGCATTCTCATGTTGTCTAGATTGGTCTTGAACTCAATGTGTAGCCAAAGATTACCTTAAACTCCTGATCCTCTGCCTCCATCTCCCCAGGGATGGGATTACAGCCATGTACCACCACATGTGGCTCAAGTTTAATTTTTAAGTTTTTTGGGAGGCGGTATTTTTGAGACAGGGTCTCCTTGTAGCCCCAGCTGACCTGGAACTCCCTCTGTAGACCAAGCTAGCCTTGAACTCACCAAGATCTACCTGCCTCTGCCTCCTGAGTGCTGGGATTAAAGGTGTGAGCCACCACACCTGGCTTTAATTATTAATTTTTAAAGTATTAGCTTTATTATATTTTACTTATTTATTTTGTGAGGGGGTAAGGATAGGTGGGATGCACGTGGAGATCAGAGGACAAGTGCAGGAATCATTTCTCTCCTTCACCACATGGGTTCCAGGGATCAAATCAAGTCATAATAAGACTTGGTAGCAAGTACCTTCACACAAGTCATCTTGCCAGTCCTCAATTTTTGTTTTTAAGTTAGAGAAATACTTAGGCCTGGAGAGATGGCTCAATGGTTAAGAGAGTTTGCTCTTCTTCCTATGGACTTAAGTTTGGTTCCCAGCAACCACATTAGGTGGCTCACAACTGCCTATGACTGTGGCTCCAGGGCATCTGATACCTTCTTCTAGCCTCCATGGATACCTACACACACACGCATACACACAGAGAGACACACACATGTATATAAATAAATCTTTTTTTATTTTTTTGTGATAGGGTCTTCCTGTAGTCCCAGCTGGCCTGGAACTCACTATGTAAACCAGCTTAGCCTCAATCTCACAGAGATTTGCCTGTTTCTGTCTCCCAAGTGCTGGGATTAAAGGGGTGTGCCATCATGCCCAGCTCTTGCTTGTTTTTTGAGATAGAGTCTCATGTAAGCCAGGCTGGACTTAATTATCTATGCAGCTGGAACTGGCCTTGAACTCCTGAGCCTCCTGCCTCTACCTCCCATGTTCTGAGATTACAGGTGTGCCACCACATCTAGCTTTTTTTTTTTTTTTTTTTGAGACACGGTTTCACTATATAGTCCTAGATTGCTTGGAACTTGCAAAGATCTGCCTACCTCTGCTTCCTGAATATTGGGATTAAAGGTCTGAAACACTATGCCCAGCAGGGTAACATTTCTTTAAAAAATTGCTTTCTTCTTGGAGAGATGACTCAGCAGTTAAGAGCACTGGCTGTTCTTGCAGAAGACCTGGGTTCAAATTCCAGGGCCCACATGGTGGCTAACAACTGTCTGTAACTCCAGTTCCAGTCAGCCTTCTTCTGACTTCCTTGGGCACTGCACAAAACGGGTGCACTTACATATATGCATGCATAACACTCATAAAGTTAAAAAAAAAAATGCTTTCTTATCAAGATAGAGGAATTTGGCATGAATCTGTAATTGTTTCCCGAACAAAAGCCTGGTAGAAAACAATACTATTTGAATTATGCAAACAGAAAAAGGAGCCTAGACTTTTCATATAGAAAATACAGTGTTTTAAGTATAAACCAGAGGCAGATCAACATACTTCTGCAGAAAGTGTGGACCTATAACAGGCAACAGCCCCCATAGCACAGAACACTATAAGAGGCCAAAGGATGAACAGAAAAGTAAGACTCTAACCTCTTTTCATTTTCTTTTTGGCAGGTTCCAATTCTTCATGGTCTTGGGGTTCCAACAAAGAAAAGGATGCTTCTTCTCTGTCTGGGAGAGCTGAAGAAAGGCTGGAGAGTTCATTACTTGCAAAGAATGGGCCACATCCTTTTGGGGAGATACCTGCATTCTCAGACCCTGTTTAAGGGGATAAACAAGTCAGGTTCTGCTTTGCCTTCTTCAGAAGAGAAAAATGTCAGGAAAGTGTCACTGATTTAAAGCAAGGGCAGTTTGTACACAAAGATCTCACAATTTAAGAATGCTATGTGGTTTATACAAATACTCATCCATGTGAATCATACCTTAAATGCACTAGGGCCCATAAATGTGCTAACAGAGCTAGAGGCAAGTGACACATTCACAAGGAAAGACATGCAGGAGATCCAAAATGGGATCACTCTTAAATTGGGACTAAGATGTCCAAGTCCACATGCCAGCAATCACAAAATGCACAGTACATGCTAACCATCCCCAAAAGAGGTCTGTGCGAGACAAGAACACTTCAAGCAGGAGTGGGGGTGGTGGAGAGTACGTTAAGGGAAGGACAAAAGAAACTAGTAGGCAGAGTTTGACCTACAGAAGCAAAAAGCCAAAGAGCCACACACAATGGGAATGAACTTGGTTGAAAGGTTGGGAAACTTTCTAATATCCTCTATTGGACACACAGCTGGCCTGGATTCACTTACTCAAGACCTAGTTCATAATATTACAGTATAATGCCTATAATATTCAAATGGTAAGCCTTAATATTTTTAAAAAACTGGCTTATACTTGTTAAAGGAAAAAGAAAAGGAATTACTTTGGGAACAAATTAAGTCATATACTAAAGAAAGAAAAGGAATCTAACTTCTTGGGCCTCCCTGCCCTGGAACCCACTCATCCTCTGATCTTGAGAGCCTTTTACGTTCAACCATGTTTTTTATTTCTAGGACAAAAGCTCTTATGACATCACCTCACATCTAGAAGGTACTAAGAACTATAATTATTTTGGTAATATATAAGTACTCAGGTGTACAGATAGATAATTTTCATCTTTTTTTGGGGGGGTCTTTTTGAGACAGGGTCTCCCTGTAGCCCCAGCTGTCCTGGAACTCACTATGTAGACCAGGCTGGCCTTGAACTCACAAGAGATCTGCCTGCCTCTGCCTCCCAACTGCTAGGATTAAAGGTGTGTGCCACCATGCCCAGTGATAATCTTCATCCTTAAAAACTGTGTAAGAGCCGGGCATGGTGGGCAACTCGTGCTTTTAAGCCCAGCACTTGGGAGGCAGAGGCAGGCGGATCTCTGAGCTCAAGGCCAGACTCATCTACATAGTGAGTTTCTTGCCAGCTGGGGCTACAGGGAGACCCTGACTCAAAAATACCAAAAATAATAAAATAAAATAAAAATTGCATAAGATATGAATTCATTGCCCATTTTAGAAAATTAGAGTATCAGAGGTTAAAAGAACCTTATAAGATTACATGCTATATACATAGATAGAAGGAGAGTAACATGGTGAAGTAGGCTCTCTCTCTGTCTCTGTGTGTGTGTGTTTGTGTGTTGCTGGGGAATCAAACCCAGGGCCTTTCACTTGCAAGCAAACGCTGCTATAGCTTCAGCCTAAAGCAGGTTTTCTTCAAACTGTTCGGTGCTTCATTTCTGAAGATATTCATTTTCTTTTCTTTTCTTTTCTTTTTGGTCTTTTATTAAAATTTTTTTTTCTTTTAAATTTTATGTGTGCGAGTATATTGCCTGCATGTATGTGAGTGCACCCGTGCCATGCAATGCCCCGGATGTCAGAGAGGGCTTCAGATTCCCCTGGAACTGGAGTTAAGGTCGGTTCGTAGCCGCCATGTGGGTGCTAGGAATTGAACCCAGGTCCTCTGCAAGAGCAGTCAGTGCTCTTAACCACTAAGCCATCTCTCCAGCCCCCCCCCCCTTTTTTTTGTCTTTTTGAGACAGGGTTTCCCTATAGCCACAGCTGGCATGGATTCACTATGGAGACCAGGCTGACCTCAGACTCACAGATCTGCCTGCCTCTGCCTCCCTAGTGCTGGGAGACATTCTTATAATATCGACAAAGTATATAGCTTGAGGTGACAGATGGCATATTTTATCCAAGGGAGTTGGAGCTTTCCACTTAGTTCAAAATCTGTGCTTGTACTTCAAGTGCTCTGAGCCACACAGATGTAGATTGAATATTGTTTCTACTTTCTTGGGGCTACTGTCACATGGGGTGGGACACCTGGTGTTGGAACCAGCTGTAGAGAACTGGCATGTACCCCAGTTGTACCCTGTGTTTAAAGAAACATGGACTTCGGAAGCCTGTAAGACTTTATCTACCCAGGATGCTTTAATCTTAAAGTGTGACTAAATTTTCTTTCATGTGTGAATTTGAAGTCTGTTAAAACAGAGGTAAATCACCAGATGTGGTGGCACACGCCTGTGATCCCAGCACTTGGTAGGCAGACACAGGCAAATCTCTGTGAGTTCAAGGCCAGCTGGATACAGGGAGACCCTGTCTCAAAACAGACAAAAAAAAAAAAAAAAAGGTAAATTAAGAGACTTTGAAGTTATAGTTTAGAAGTTTATAGGACAGAGGCGATGGGTAGAAACTCTTTTGTAATTTCTTGGCTGAAGCTGCTCATCTAATGGATGAACTACTCGCCCATCCCACATGTTTTAGCAAGTAGGCATCTTTAGTAAGGATATAAAAAGTCCTTCCACATATTCTTGCTCTGAAAAGTCACAGCCACAAAATCAAGCTATTTGACACCTGTGGCACTACCATCTGGGACAGTGAAGTGTGTGGCTGGGAATACTTTGCTGCTGGGTTTATACAAAGAGCCTTAGGAAGGGCTATGGATAGGGAAGGGGATGCCTGTGTTCTGAGCAACTGCATTAGGAACAGAAGTTCAGAGAGTTTGGGAAGGGACTTCCAGTCTTTTTTCTTTTCTTCTTCTTCTTTTTTTTTTTTGGTCTTTTTTGAGACAGGGTCTCTCTATAGCCCCAGCTGGCCTGGACTTCAGTATGTAGACCAGGCTGGCCTCAAATTCACAGAGATCCACCTACCTCTGACTCCCAAGTGCTGGAATTGAGACTTCTAGTCTCATACTGACTCTTGCACTTACTGCCTCTCTTTCCCCAAATCCCACCAGAATACTTATTTATATAAGGCCCTGGGTACCAGCCCCAGAATCACAAAACAAAAACAAAACAAACAATATTTTCCAGTAGAGCAGCCAGCTGGCTGATGAGTTAACAAGCAGTCTTTTGAGAGAGACTTGATGCTGCCAATCAGTGGCTAGAACCATTTGGAACAAAAGTCTTTTCTGTGAGACTCTCCTAGTTCCTGCTGTTGAGTTAACGTGATGTTTAGAGCTCTGGCCAATATCCTGAAAACTACAGACATGTTGATATGCTTGAGGCAAAAAAAAAAGGCAAGTTTGGGATGGATGGGTGGAAAGGCCATGCACCTTTTGTTCTGGAAACCAGTTTTTCTGTCATACCTGAACATATCCTCACTGACATTTAAGAAGACTTCTGTTCCCAAGAAACCTACAAACATCTGTACAATGTAAAAATAAAGAGCCAAGTATTCTAGGAATAAATAAGAATTAGCCCAAAATTAAGTGAAGGAAGCTATAAAACCTTACTCAAGAAATTTCAGGTTTTTTTTTTTTTATAAATGGGGCTTTTTGCTATTCTGACATTCCCCCCTCTGAAGAGGTAACCCTAAAATCTTTTCGGGATTAGATAAGAACTCCAAAATACTTTTGACATTTTTGGCCTTTGGAACAGATTATGTTGCTAACAGGGCCAAGGGCATTTTGATTTTTAGCCAAGAAACTGGCTACTTTTCTTTGGGGTCTTTTTACCCTAACTGCCTAGCCAATTCCTTCCTCCTATTCTTATCACAACATCCCCTGAAGAGGTTACCCAAATTGCCGATAGGGAATCAGGACACAGACTGCCCTGGCTTCTTCCATGCTGAACAGGGATGCCAGGTGAGGCATTGGGGTACCCCTTCAGTGGGTCTTTCTAAAAGACTCCCCAAAAGTATTTCATTATTTTTTATTACTATTTTATGTGTATGAGTGTATTGCCTGCATGTATGTAAATGCACCTGTGTCATGCAGTGCCTGTGGAGAACAGAAGAGGGCGTCAGAGCCTCTGGAACTGGAGTTTCGGACAGTTGTTAGCTGCCATGTGGGTTCTGGGATTTGAACCTGGGTCTTCTGCAAGAACAGCCAGTGTTCTTTTTTTTTAATATTTTATTTATTATTATTACTTTGTTATTGTTCTTCTTTTTGAGACAGGGTCTCCCTGTAGCCCCAGCTGGCCTGGAACTCACTATGTAGACCACGCTGGCCTTGAACTCACAGAGATCTGCCTGCCTCTGCCTTCTGAGTGCTGGGATTAAAGGCATGCACCACCATGCCCGACTATTTTATTTATTATTATTTTTATTTTACGTGTATGAGTGTATTGCCTGCATGTAGGTAAGCGTACCCGTGTCTTGCAATGCCGGTGGAGGACAGAAGAGGCTGTCGGATCCCCTGGAACTGGAGTTAGGGACAGTTGTTAGGTGCCATGTGGGTGCTGGGATTCAAACCTGGGTCTTTTGCAGAACAATCAGTGTTCTTAACTGCTGAGCCATCTCTCCAGCCCCAAGAACAGCCAATGTTCTTAATGACACTGAGCCATCTCTCCAGCCCCCAAAAGCTAGTTTTAAAGATAATCTAGAAGCTACTGTGGTGGCATACACCGTTAGTCCCAGCACTCAGGAGGCAGAAGCAGGCAGATCTCTTTAAGTTCCAGGCCAGCCAGGGCTACATAGTAAGACTCTGGAAAATACAGGGAAACAGCTGAGTAAACTAAAAAAATTTAGTATGTGTAGTGTGATCTAATTCAGGGGATATGGGTGTACACACATATCCCAATAATACCCACAGTATATAACACACATCCCACTTCACCACATGTTCTGAATTCTCCCAATGACCATAAAGAAGAAAAAGCAAACAAAAACAAAAACAAAAACAAAGACAGCTGTAAGGACCAGGGCATGTAAAACTGGTTTTAAGCAACACAACACACTGTTTTGGATAACCTTTGAAAACACTATGATAAATGAAAGGAGGCACTCACAAGACCACATACTATATGACTGTGCACATGGACTGTCAGAAACAGACAAATACATAAGAGATTTGTAAGTCTCCTCTTAAGTTATAAAATGTTCTGGGATTAATGGTAATGGTCATGCCAGTTTGTGAATGTACTAAAACCACCGATGTCCCTGATGTGCACACTTTTGAGTGATATTTACAATATATGAATTAAACTTAGATAAAACTAAAATTTCTCCTGGGAACAAAACAAGTCAGTATACACAACTATAGAATACTAATGAGTGGATTTACTGTCTCTCAAGGAACAAAAAAATGTGACTGCCACTGTGATCCCCATCTCACCAGAGCTGGAAGAATGCTCTTGCCCTGCAGAGGTCGGCTCTGGCTCCATAGAAGAGGTAGAGGCCGTGGGGAAGAGGTCTGATGTCGATGTTGATGGCTGTGGTTCCTCTAAGCATGTCTGAGTCACGGATGACAACGGTGGGACCTGGGGGTTGCCCCACCCTGGACCTGAGGAATCTTTGGTCACATGGAACATGTTTTCTTTATTGGCTTCTATGAGCACAAAAGCAGAGGGAGCATAATCAGAGCTCAGAAAGACACAGTAGAGGGCTAAAGGGCTCTTCCTAGAACTCAAAAGCCTTTTATAATAGCCAAGTCCTTGCTACAACATCACTTACCAAAGGATTCTTGAGTCATGCTTTGCTTTTCACTTAAAGATTCATAGATATATGCCACATCTAAAAAGAAATTAATCAAATCAGAGAGCTATGGCCTAGTGGAAAGCAAGATCTCATCTCTCCTACTCCTCTGGTCACATCACATCTGTTAATTATCTTCACCTATCCAACAACATTCACCAGTTTAAGTGATTCCAATACAAGCAACCCACTTTTACTAACCAAAAATAAGTAAGCAGCCTAAGGGAAAAATGGCCTTAGGAGACAGACTAGGGTGAAGAATCCATGCCTACTTATAACTGTAAGCCTCTGAAAGGAACAGATCTGAGATCCCTCTATATTATATGGCAAGGGGCTGATTTGATTTTGAAGATGCACTTTTTCCTTGCCAAGAAAGACAATGGTGGTCTTCAAGTATTTTAGAGCAAAGGTTCCTCCACCTCTCCTTCTTCTACACGGCTTTCCTATAAACAAAGCCTCCTAGAGCTGGAGCCAGTCTCACCTTTGCTGCCTCTTGTAAACTCATCCAATAGACAGCCAACGGCTTCCAGGGCCACAATCCTGGGTTTTATTCCTACACTCCTATTCTACTGCTTAACCCAGCCCAGTCCATTTACTCCTCTTTGGCTTCTGTTTTGAGATACACGGCTCCTGGAGGCATTCTTGACAAAAGGCCCTGACTGCAGAGTCGGCACTCCACTCAAGTGTTTGTACCAAGAACTTACATAAACAGTAAGGGAATGTAGACAACTGAAACTTTCCTCTGGAAATGTCTGTTTCAACAGCTTTTCTTCCTGATGGTGTTTCCCAGCCTCAGCTGGACTTGGGCAGCACCTGGGCAAGTGTCTAACCCCAACAATTTTCCTCTCTTACTGTGTTCTGGCTCATTCTTCCTGTATACCAAATAGATGACATCTCCAGTCTGTAAAGGGCAAATCTGCTTCTTAACAACTTTCAGCTTGTTGATAACTGTTCCATTGGTGCTGTTAAAAAAAAAAAAAAAAAAAAAAAAAAGTAAGTTAACCTACTCAAAGTACTAAATAGTGTTAACATTTTTCTACTACCATTAAGAAATCTGTTCAGCATTACCATTTTGAAAATACTCAGAGGAATGAGAAGTTATTTTTTCTGTTATTAATTCTTTTAAAAAATTCTTTGACAGTTTCATGCACGCATATAATGGATTTTTTTTGGTTTTTTTGGTCTTTTTGAGACAGCGTCTTCCCTGTAGCTCCAGCTGTCCTGGAAATCACTATGTAGACCAGGCTGGCCTCGAACTCACAAAGATCCACTTGCCTTTGCCTCCCAAGTGCTGGGATTAAAGGTGTGCGCCACCATGCCCGGTCCACATATAATGAATTTTAGTCATACTCCTCTCTCCCATCCCCCTCTCCTGTTCACCTTCTTTCCAACAAGTTCCCAGGAATGAGAAATTATTTAACAATGTACATATGCAAGTACCACTAGACAATGCTCTAGACAAAAGGCCTGCGTGTTCCTACTCCCTCACTGGCAAACTTAGCAACCCAATCATCTTATGGTATAGTTTAACATTTCTTCTTCTCCAATACAGGTTCCTTTCTGCATGCCTCATGGTGGATCCTGAGGCTTACTGGCAGCATTCTGCTTAGCTCTGCCCCTTCCTTCCAACAATCAATCCCTTCAGTTAGTCTTCTCAAGCAAATACTGATACTGATCCCTCCCCCAAGAGATGGGCTCAAGGTAAAAGCAAAATAAATGCTGGGTTTTCAACTGAAGATGACGTGGCCCCTGTGCTCAGTAGATTCAGTCTGACCCAACTGTGACCATACTGCTGGGTGGGAAGCCCAAGTGTTAGGGGACAGGAAGAATTCTCTTGAGAAGGGCTTTTGGGTGGAGACCTGTTGGAAATCAGGCTTGGCTACATAATAACGAAAGAGCATAGTACAGTGAACACAAAATTTAACAAATGAACCACCATAGACCATAGCTTTGCAGCCTTGCTCCTGAGGCCCAGTTGTGGAAGGAATTAACATTTCAGTAGACTTGCACCATAGTTCCCTCTGGTCAGGGAATGGCAGTCATTTCCATAAAGCACAGGACACTAACTAGTTCAGGCTCTATGGTTACAAAGTCTCTCTCCAGCTACTCAGCTCTTGTCACTGCAACATGACAACAGCCAAGGGCAGAACATAAATAAGCCAGCATGGCCATGTCCCAGAAAGACTTCTAAGACAGTATGCAGACCTCAATCTTGACAGTCACAATTCTCCTGGCCCTTTGCTGCCAGGCATCTTCCTACTGTCCATTTTCACATTCTTTCTTAGCAACTGAACCCCTGCTCTCAGGCTGAAGCTCAAATGCCCAGCTATGACTTTCCACTCATCACTTGCACTGACCATACAAGTCCTCATGCCTCTGGGCCTAAGCAAAAATGGTGTCTCTGCCTGGACTGCCCGCTTCCCTTGTGGCCCACCTTTGCCCTGGAAGTCAGTACCTCTGACAGGAAACAGATTGTTCCTAGAGCCTTCAAAAGGAACCAGCACCCTAAGACTCATGCTGGATTTTGGACATCACAACTGTAAAACAGTAAATTCATATTATCTTTTTTTTTTAACTTTTTAAAAAATTTTATTTATTATTTTTATTTTATGTGTATGCTTGCATGTAAGTAAGTGCCTCTAGCCCCAAAACAAAAAAAAATTTTTTTTTGGTCTTTTTTGAGACAGGGTCTCCCTGTAGCCCCAGATGGTCTGGAGCTCACAAAGAAGACCAGGCTGGCTTTGAACTCAGAGAGGTCCACTTGCCTCTGCCTCCCAAGTGCTGGGATTAAAGGTGTGAACCACTAATATTTTATTTATTATTTTTATTTTATGTGTATGAGTGTGATGCCTGCATGTATATAAGTATACCATATGCATGAAATGCCCGCAGAAGCCAGAAGAGGGCATCAGATCCTCTGGACCTGGAGTTATGGACATAACCATGTGGGTGCTGGGAAATGAATCTGGGTCCTCTGGAAGAACAGCAAGTGTTCTTAACCACTGAGCCATCTCTCTAGCCCAATCTAGCCCAAAGTCCATATTGTCTTTTTAATAAAAAAAAATTATTTATTTTTATTTTATGTGTATGGGTTTGATGCCTGCATGTATGTAAGTACATCCGTGCCATGCAATGCCTGTACAGGTCAGAAGAGGGGGTCAGATCCCCTGGAAACTGGAGTTATGGATAGTTGTTAGCTGCCATGTGGGTGTTGGGAATCAAGCCTGGGTCCTCTACAAGAGCAGCCAGTGCTCTAACCACTGACCCATCTCTCCAGCTCCCAGAGTCCATATTATCTTGTGCCACTATGTTTATGGCAAGTTGTTACACAGCCACAGGAAATTAATTCTATCATACAGTCCTGATCCAGGAAAAATGGTTTTAGAACCAGCACTGTTTTCTATACAGAGCTGAGACATAAAGAATTTGATCTGCTACCTACTAAAATAGAAAAAAAATCTAGCATTTCTTTCTAGAATACTCACGTTCCAGCTTCTATCCCTGAAACTCTTATTATCATGATGCCTAATCTCTAAAAGAATACAATAACTCAGAAATGGTGGTACATATCTGCAACCCCAGCACTCAGGAAACTAAGGCAGGAGGATCATGAGTTCCAGACCAGCGTAGGCTATAGAATGAGACCCTGTCTCAAACAAACAAACAAACAAACAAACAACACCCCAAAACAGATCCACTGATGCACAATGTGCTACAAGAAGGCCATCCACCATGTGCACCAAATTTAAAATAAGCACACTCAGAAGCAGTACTCCCTTCAAAACAAGACAATCCAATATCATACAGAATTTGGAGAAGAGCCATTGCAGTGTCATTTATAGCAAGAAAAAAAAGTCAAAGTAATAAATGATCATGGGGAAATGAAATGACAAAATATCAAGAATAATAATAAAAGCTACATAGGGAGTTCCAGAGAGCAGGTGCTATAGGAAGACACGGTCTCAAGGAAAAAAAAAAAAAAAGAGTAAAAAACAAAAAATATGAACCAATCAAACAAAACAAAAAAACGCTGGAATGGAAACCCAGGACCATGACAGTAATTGTTGCATAATCTCATTCAGGAAAAATAATGTACTCATCCATTTTTAATGTTAGTAGGATGAGAAGGCTGGAAGGAATCCCACTATTTATGTACTACTTAAGTTATAGAAGAATTGTTTAAAAAAAAAGATTCTGGAGGCCAGGCATGGTGGTGCACACCTATAGTCCCAGCACTTGAGAGGCAGAGGCAGGCAGAGCTATGTGAGTTCAAAGCCAGCCTGGTCTAGATAGTGAGTTCCAGGCAAGCTGGGGTTACAGGGAGACCCTGTCTCAAAAAGACAAAAAAAAAAAAAAAAAAAAAAAAAAAAAAGATTTTGTGGGGCTGGGAGATACGTCAGTCCAAAAAGCGTTTGCTGTACAATCATGAGGACCAGATTTCAAGCCTCCAAATTCATTTTAA